ATCGGGAAAATCAGACATTTGTCGTGTCGAATTTTATGGACACAGGAGGCCGTCAAGTGCGGCAGGATTTCATTGAACAAGGTGGACACGAAAATCAACGTGTCAGACTTAGGCACAAAATGTCTGTCGAGAGCTCGAATCAACCTGTTGCTCAACTTTTGCGGCATCTTCGATTGTGAGCTTGATTGTTTGGTAGGAGAAGAAGAGCGTAGACAGTTTGAAGAGCAGAAGTTCGTGAAGCAGGGCAAAGCCGTTTTGGGCAAGCTTTCAAAAGCGCAAATTCGTAGATTGATTGGGATGGTCATGCTTACTGACGCCTTGGGCCCTGTCTACGGCATGAACACAGATCGCGACCGAGACGAGTTCGGTGGCATGATTCTTCATTTGAGCCCGAATGCCATTGTGCAGATCGCTATCCTTTGGGGCATCGTGATGGTTGTCGTGATGTTGGTGGGTGCAGTGGCATGGTGCTACACAGTCGGGAGAACCAGTAGGGCAAGTTCTGATGATCATGATGGTGAGCCAGACGCGTCACCCAAGCTTCGTGGAGCAAAGTCAAAGTTCAAGTCAAAGCCCCCAACGCGCGATGACAAAGATGATGTTCATGATGAGCCCGAGACCGCGAACATGAAGAAGTACAGAACCGAGATGGACAAAGCAGAGTGCTCGATCTTTCTCCGCATGCGTGGCACAGGAAGCTCCTCGAATTCCCCCGCGAACGCGCAACTACATGTAGAAGCAGATCCCCGTAATCCTCGTCAACACCGCAGTGGAAGCGAGAGTAGTATGAGCACGAATGCATGGGATCAGTTGCTAGCCAGCGGATCTGAAGATGGACATCCTGATCCATTGGTTTGGGTTGCGCAGTTTCATGGCAAGTGCTATCACAAACGAGCTTGCAGAAAGCTTGACAGTGCAGCAGCAGTCAACTCCATGCGGAGATCGAGGGCAGTTGAGAAGAAGTTGAGGGCTTGCACGTTTTGTCGACCGGGGTGAAGAGAGTCATATGCTACATGATGCATCGTATGAGCCTTGTTTTGCATGCAGTGCGGCCAAAGCTGTATGAAAGGACGAATGTGAGCCCATTTACGTGTGGCAAGGTTTACGCTACACAGGGCATGAAGCAAATTCGGCATTTTGTCGTTATAATTAGGACTGTGATTACGCAGAGTTTCACTGTAATGGATTGCGCAGCTTCTAAACATGAAACGACCCAAAGATGTCAAGCTGCGAATCGGTTGTGCATGGTTGGAACACTGTATGAGTGGCCAAGTCTAGAACAAAAGCTTGTTGCGCCGCCAGAAGCGCCTTGGCACTCAGAGTTTACACACGCTGTACAGTTCAGCTTGCCTCTCACGTGACGTGAGAAAGTTTGTGTCTAGACGTTTGTAATCAAAGATTCTTCCGTCTAGAGGCGGGGTGACAAACTTTACATGTACATGCATAGTCCCCCTTAGGTGTATAGTTTTGTGTCAAGAAACACTTGCAGCTCAGACCAGAGACAGCTTTTCGTGCAGGCGTCAAAGTCACAGGAAAAGTTTTCAGGTCGGCCAAGAGGGAGCGCATGCAACAGGAGCTGGCAGCTGGAACTTCGACCTTCTTCTTACAGGTGTGCCAAGGCGCCCACCGAAGGCTTCACCCGGCTCTCCCGGTGCCCAGCTCCCTGGACGATGTGAGGACCCAAGGTCGCCTCTCGATGGTGTCTTACCTAGAAAGGCAAGGAGGGTATGCCCAGCAGCGGGGGACCGGCCTGGTGATGTTGATGCTGGCTACCATTGCCGACTGTTTCCTGAGGGGCGACACCCATGCTGCCATGGAACACCTTGGCCTCGCCCTGGCTGCCACCGAGCAGTCTTGCACCGACAACGGGAGGTGGGACCTGGGCTTCTTGCTGACGCTGCTAGAGGAGCCTGCTCCTTCAATGTTTGCCCCGCGGGGCCAGGCTGCCAACACCCGGTTGAGGGCTTTCTCGCCCCTGGTTCCCCCTGCCTTGGGGTCTGTCACCCTGGCTTATGTTCGGGAGGTGAACCTCCTATCTCAAAGGAGGAAGGACGCTGTGCAGCCCAGCCGGGCAACCGCCGAGGCCGAAGAGCCCGGAGGCGACGAGACAAAACCGAAAAGGCAGAGGTTCCCTCGACGGCCAAAGCCCCCTTGAGTGCCTCTGTGCTGCCTTCGCCGCCTTTCAAGATACCTATGAGCTCTGGAATTGGGACCCCTTCAAGGAATTCGTCTTTTGCCAAGCCTAGTCGCCCCGGTGGCAGGTTCTTGCGTGCAGGCGGTCATGCTCCTCAGGAGGTAGGCCGGCCTAGCATCCCCGATCCTCGGGTCGATGCCCCTTTGTCTTTTCGGAGCTGGGCTCTTCGTGCGCATTTGAAATTTATTAAGGCTCGCACGCCCTTCTCTGCCTTCCTTTCTCGGACTTTGCACCTTTGCCGGCGCGGCGTTTGTGCCCCGGCCCATGTCCTGTTCCCGCTCCCCCTTCCTCACCCGGCCATCTTCCAGTCCCGCCTTGCACTTTCGTCCAGGCGGCGGGCCGTGGTTGCTGAGCGGCGTCTTTTGCATATCTTGGTGATGGCCTTGAATTTCCTACACCAGGACTGCCACTTCGTGCCCCTCGAGCTTTTGCAGCGACCTCCCAACGTGCCCCAGGCCCGTTGCTTGTCCTATCTCGGGGCCCTTGTCAGGACATACGGTAGCGAGCAGGAGGGCGTAATACCCTCCACCGCCGGCCGTCGAATTCATGTGTTGCAAGCTCGGTTGGGAGAGCTCTCAAATCGCCTGGCGGACCTGGGCCCTGTGGGTGATATCTACTCTTGGGCTCCTCCTTCCGATCCTGTGGTTCCTCCGGACACCCTGCCTGAGGACCAGCAGCCCTACCAACCTGCCCAGGCGGAGCGCCTTCAGATCAGTGGCCGTGGGCTTTGGGACCCTCTGCCTTTCCTGCCGCCTGACCTGCAAATGGCTTACGCGGAGCCTAGGAGCCTCTTGTTCGGAGGCCTTCCGGGCCCTGAGGCCTTCCCTGACTGCTCTCGGGAAGACGCGGCCGAGACTTTGAAGCTTGCCCTGTTGTGGTCGTCCCAGGGCTTGTTGCACCTTGAGCCGTTCACTTCCGACCTGCACCCCTCCTGCTACGCGAGAATCTTTGCAGCTAGGAAGTCGTCAGGCAAGCTGCGCCAGATTGGGGACCGTCGTGGCCCCAACTTTGCCGAAGCACGGCTGCCCGGCCCGTCAAGATGGCTCCCCTCGGGGGAGGTGCTCACCGCCCTTTCGTGTCGACCGGCTTGCGAGGGCTTGTGCTTATGCATAACTGATCGCCGAGACTTCTACCACCAGCTGAGGTGCACACCGGAAAAGGCAAGGCTGAACAGGCTGCAGCCCGCCTTGCCCGCTCAGGCGTTTGCTGGGTCCCAGGCCCTGCTCGACCTTCGTCTTCGCTTCGCCGACAGCTCCTCCCCCCTAGGCCCCTATGGTTTAGGCCCGGACCCTTTGCAACCTAGGCCTAAGGAAGACTTTAAAGTCCAAGCCTGTTTCTCTTCGGTGCTACAGGGAGATCATCTCGGAGTGGAGGTGGCAACAGCCAGCCACTCTGCCTACCTTGAAAGCAAAGGACTCTTGCTCCCCCGCCAGCGCTTGCAAGCGAACCAGCCGGTGCTCAACAGCCAATGCCACCAAGGGCTGATAATAGACGATTTCTTCGCCATCGCTAAAATCAGCCGGTCGGCGCACGCCGGCCTCACCTCCTCTACCACAACCCCGGCAGGCCGGGGCTAGAAGGATCGGCTGAAAAAGACGTGGTGAATGCAACGATCGGCTCGGTGGCTGGAGCAGAAGTCGACAGCCGGAGCAGCACTCTTGCCAGAGGGCTCTGTGTTATCGGGGCTCCTCGCTCGAAACGTTTTGTGCTGGCAGACCTCAGCCTAGAGGCCTGCCTGCTGCCAGCAACCACTGACTCTCTTAACGCGTGTTTGCTGGGAAGCTGGACCTCAGCATGCACGTTTCGTCGGCCGTGTTTCTGTGCCTTCTCAAAGGCTTTCGCACTGTCTCCTCTCGGCGAGCTCGACCCAGAGGCCCCCAAGATCCTGAAGCTGCCCCGGGCAGTTGCCCAAGAATTTCAGCTGGCGGCAGCCTTGGCCCCAGCTGTCTGTTCTGATGTAGCCGCCCCGTATGTGCCACCGACGCCTCAGAGGCGAAAGGCGCCTGCGTATCGGCTCCTCTGCCTGAGCACCTCCGGGCGGTGCTTTGGGCGACCAGGGAGCTTATGCTCGCATCTGCTCGCCTGCCCAGGCCCTGTTGCGACGGGCCGACCCAATGTTTGAGGAGAGGCCGGAGGCTGATCAAGCGAGCCCAGAACGACCGCTTGCTTTCCTCTTTGATTTCCTGGCCTTGGGCCCGCGTTCTAGTGAGGTGCTTAAAAATGTCGCAGAGAGGGGGTGGTCGGTTGGCCCTCTCATCTCCGGGGATGTGTCCCCGCACTACTGCCTCAGCCTGCCTCGCCTCCTGGACTGGGTCTTTTTCCTCATAGACGAGGATCGTGCTCGAGCCCTCTATGTGGCCGCTCCTGTGGGTGAGGACCTGGCACCCTTCCGACACACGCTGGCTATTCTGATGAAAGCCCGGGCTGCCGATGTTGCTTTCGTTGCCGAGGCCCCCTTTTTCCTTCAAGGCAGGGCTCAGATGCTCTGGCAAGGGATGCTGGGCGTCAGTGGGGTCCAGACGTGCACGGCCTCGACTTGTGCTTTCGGCTCCCCTTTCCTCAAGAGGCTCAGGTTCATTGCGGTTGGCTGCAACCTGGCCCCCCTTGCAAAGGAGTGCTCCTGTTCCCTTCCCCACCGCTCTGTCAAGGGCTCTGTGGCCCGGCCGGGTTTTGTGCCTCGGTCCGGCCTCTCACACTGTGTTGGCGAGGTCTTTCACCAGGCTTTGCGGGAGCGGTCTGCTTGGCTCCGGGAAACCGACATTGTGTTAAACATTACCGCTGTATAGGAACACTGCAGTTTGTGTG